AGCACTCCTGCATGAGATTTGATTCCATCACACAGGTGGTTTTATTAAAAACGTAACAGATACAATTATTTCCAGGCACACCTCAGATGCTCTGTGACATATTTACTGACAAATTTTATAATAAAAATATAACATATGCAGCAACGTTCACTGAACGCTGTAAAGCACACAAGTTTACTCGCTACCTGCTACAAATCCAGAATTAAAGCTAGGTTTAATGTACTGAGTTAAATGTACTGAATGGTCACTGGAAAAAATGTTTTAAATTCATATAAAATTAATCTTAAATTAAATCAAATTAAAATTAAAAAAAATACTGCAAGACTCAGCAGTTTTTATGTTGTCACATACAGATGTCAGTGCTTTTTCAAATATAGCAGGGCTGTCCAACTCACAGACTGTAGACTGCATGGGGCCTGCAAGAGGTTAACATGCAGTCCCGAGGCTCCCACCCAGCCACCACTGTCCCTACTCCTCCAGCTACAGCAGCAGTTGGGGGGGGGTTCTTGGGGGGTTCCCACCCAAACAGCGTGAGACAGCACAGCCTGCAGCCTGGAACACCCATGAGGCACAGTGCCACAGGGGAGCTGAAGGTGAGGTGGGATGCTGCACCATACAAGGGAGCAGCACCTGCCCAGTGTGTTGAGGTTGGGGAGCACCCACCTGCCCAGAGCCTGGGGGGGGTTCCCACTAGTGCTGCCCCCGTGGTGTGTGGCTCCCGCTGGTGCAGCCCATGGGGCATGTGGCCCCCAGCCGCTTTGAAGTTGGACAGCCCTGAAATACAGCATAATACCATGAACAACTGTCATGCCATTATGTATACAAGGAGCCAAAAAATCAAAGTGGGATATGCAATGTTCATGTCAGCACTCCTTAACAGAAGTACTTAGCTGTGTAACTAAATTTTAATTACCTTGGGGGCTTTTTGATTTGTTTGCTTTTATGCACTGCCTTTATACAGAAAATACTGCACAGGCAATGGGGCTGTTAATACAGGAATTAAACCTTTCACTTGAAACTGGATTCAGAACAAATAATGTTGAAGAGCATAAGACTGAAAAGAGCTGTTTCTACTCGAGTAGCATTCAATGGCCTAATGAAAGCTGGTCGACTTTAATCTAGTTTCCTCACAATTGGACACAAGCCCCTGGGGCTAAACACTAACAGGAAGATAATGTTAAAAGACTGATTAGATACAACTGAACTACCTTCTTCCTACAAGCAAGAGAGACAAAAAACCCACCGACTAGCAATAAGCTCATCTCTGTGTAACTATCAATATATACGCAGTAACCATTTCAGGGATAGAAGATTCAAGTCACTGCTGCTGTTAATCTTCACATTTACGTATATGGACTTCAGTTAAATATTTTACATAACATAAGTTGACATTTGATGCAGACAACAGTAAGCCACTTACATTTTATAATAGAAAACCTTGGACTCGCCAGTGTTAGCTGCTGGAATGAGGTGTTTGTCCAGTACATCCAGAATATCACAACAGATTAACTTCAGCTCAGTCTCAACCTGTGAGGTGCAAACAAAACCGCCCCAAAACAAAAATAAATCAGTGTTGAATAAACTGCTTGAAACAGTGGAAATTAAATTTTTCTTCTTGACATGTTGAAAATGAGAGACTTGTTTTAACTGGATAGTATTAAGAGACTATATCAACAAACATTAGCCAAACCAGAGGTGTTTGTAGGGTGTGAAAGAGGGCTGCGGGGCACCTAACTCTAAACCATTTTCACAACATATGGCAGCTTCAAAACTTATTTTTCAATGCTTAAAATGACCCAATAACTGCACTCTGAGCACTGATACTTGCATTAAAACTTGTATGAAATTGGCATAGCAAACTATAACGAAACACGTGTAGACGGGTGGAAGGCATACCGATTCTACAACCTGCGTCTTGCCTTGGCCCACAGTCAGAGTACAACATTCTGCCTGTCTACTAATGACTAAGATGTTAAAATTTAGCCTCTCCTACCAACTTGCTCTACATGGTCCTAGAGGATAACTGAATTCTGCAGATACTCTCATGTTAAAAAAAATACAAAAAAGGGTCTGTGTCCATTATGATACACATTTCCCTACAGGGCTACAGCAAGGGAAATAATTTAATCAGAAATAAAACTGTGGGAGATGCTTTGCAGGATTTACCATCCTGGTTCTTAGATCCTATATGCAAATCTGGCACAGCACCCCAAACTCTAAGATTTTGCTCCCTTATGGCTGTAAAGGCTAACAGGACAAAAGCCTCCCTCAGACCACGGTATGTTTCTACTCATTTCACAGGAGGCAAAACACCAATCAAGAAATGCCAACTAAGGCCCAATGCAGGATTGAAAACGTACCTCAGAAAGTAACGAGCAAGTTTTTCTCTTGCATCGGACAGACTAAGCCCAACCAATCAGACTTTGAGATGAGCAAGAAGCTTAAGGGACATGCCAGCAGATAGGAGGCAGAGCAATAAGGAGGAGACCCACTGACAAAGTCCACACAAATGAGTTGCTTTGAAAAACATTAGAACGTACAACAAACTTTTAAACACACAAAACTAGGAAAGGTAATAGCACTGATCTTTGTAAGGCTCATCTCCAGGGGAACACGACTAAGCTCATTTTAGAAATCAGTTAGTAAGGAACACTTCGCAAAGCAATGACTTTTGAAATACTGGGCTTTGAAAGGCTACTAACTTTAGCAAGTTATTCAGCAAGGAGTTCCTACAGATACAAAGGTCTGTACAGCCTTTGTAACACAGAAGACTTATCCGCACAAGAAAACGTTGCAGACACTTAGTTAAATCTATTTCCAACTCCTTTTTCCTTAAACTGATGAAGGCTCCTATGCATCTTCACCTCAGTCTACTGCTTAACATTCTGTGGAGCCAAGGATTTCGTTGGGTGGCATCGTTTTATTGGACTAGCTCTGTACTTAGGATCAAGCTAGCGCAAGAGTGATGATGTTGTAACCACGATGGTCCCGGAGTTCTGGCACGCAACAGCAGCTGCAACTGCCAAAGTGTACGTACATGCACACTTCTGGTAGCTTTGCATGGCTCCACTCTGCAACTGTATTGCCAAAGCCTCTTTAGAGGGCACTTCGCGCATCAGCTGCAAAACAGACCACGCAGTCCAGCAGAAAATGTGCGCAACGGACTACACAGCATTCTGCCAGCTGCCTCGCACCTCTCAGTAGAAATGCTTTAACTCTGTTAGAGTAAACAACAGATCTACTTGTTTGTCATACATGCTGAAATGAACGGAACAGGTTGCAACCCTCCGAGCTCATGAGCTATTCTGATCATCAGGCCATAGTTTCCAAGCCCATCTGGCGTTCCTGAACTGCTGTCATCCGCCCTCAGTCTGTCCCCCCCATCCCATCCCTCCCTTCCGCCACCCTGGAATCGGCTGCTCTCAGGGATACCTAGAAAGAGAAGACAAATCCAATAAACAGTAGTCACTTAAAGCATGAATACACTTACTTTTTAATCATGCTTAATATCTATAAAGAACCATCTCCTCCCAACACCTTTGGCTTCCGAAAATTTCCTATCTAGTCTAATGGATACACATTTCAGAATACCACTTATACAGCCTTAATTACGTTAAGAAACCCAATTCCTTAAGTAGGCCAACTTTGGACAAATCACTTTTTGAAAAAGCCAAAAGTCAAACTGAGGGCAAGCTGGGTATTCTTGATGTTTAGGCATTGTGTCAGGACACTGTACAGCTGTTCACAAAGTTTCCAAAATAGGTTAGATCAACCCTCGTCTAGGACAGCCATCAGCAGCATTTTCTGGCAGCGGGTCAGAATGACCAAGCTCAGGCTCAAGGTGGGCCACCACTAGAACCCAACTGTTGCCGCCACTTTTCCTCACTGCTCAAGCCCCCTGGCTCTGCCGGCTACATCAAATTGCTACATGAGCCCTACTAGTCCAAAATGACTTTAGGCACCCCAGGCAGAAGGGTCAACTATATAACCCCATAAGCTTCCTTCCAGCTCTACTTTTCTATTATTCTATGCACGGGTACAGGCAAGACAGAGATGCCAGGCATCACCTGGGCAAGCTTTTTGAGAGAATTATCCTGGCCCATGTCCACGAGGGGCCAGCAGGGGAAATTATGCTTAGGGGCAACCAACATGGGTTCATTAGAGGCAGGTCCTGTCAGACCAACCTAGTGGCCTTCTATGACCAGGTCACAAAATCCTTAGATGCAGGGGTAGCAGTGGACGTAGCCTTTCTGGACCTTTGGAAGGCGTGATCCGGGGACTACAGGGCAGACCCTACAATGAGAGACGGCGGGACCTGAACCTGTTCAGCCTTCACAAGAGAAGGCTGAGGGGGCACCTGGTGACCGTCTAGAAACTCACTAGGGGGGACCAGAAGGGTTTGGGAGAGACCTTGTTTCCCCTAGCGCCCGCTGGCATAACAAGGAATAACAGCCACAAGTTGTTGGAGAGGAGGTTTAGATTAGACATCCATAAGAACTACTTCACAGTTAGGGCAGCTAGGA